TGCTCGAGGCCTTCCTCTCCGGACGCTGATGAATGGTGCTGCGGTGTCGTGGATGGAACATAAATCGTAGAGCGAGCGGTGAGGTAGACAGAGAGAGATGTGGGTCAGAACTCAGAGGGCTGTGCTCCATAAATATAACATGTATGAATGACAAAGTGCGCAGGGACCAGGGCATATTACTGTATTCATTGTTCTTTTTATATTGTTTTAATATTAATGTAGTGGAATAATTGTTAGAGGTCGTGTGTGGCTGGAACAACTACCGGTTAAACATGGTACTACATCAAGAGGGGAGCGTCAGGTCTCCCAAACAGTTCAGCATTTAAGTGTTACATTTGTTGAAGTTGTGGTAAAAAAGTGGTTTTGGGGTCAGCGTAGCTCATGTTATAAACGGGTGCAGTTTGTGTCTGCAGTGAGCTCTGCCTCCAGGACACCTCCAGCCCACACTTCTAGCCCACACTTCTAGCACACACCTCCTGCCCACTTCCACAGGTGTGAGCAGGGACTGAAAGTGACACTTTTGCACCTTCACAGACACTTGTACTGTATCTGTAAGAGTGGTGTCTGAAGGCCTAGGGCTCACTGAGTTATTTCTAGTGATGGGCATATGAGACGGAGCTCTGGAGCACATCTCGTTCTTTCTGAAACTAATTTCTCTGAAGCACTGCCTCGGAGCTCGTCTCACAGCAGCCGCTCAAGTGACCGAAGTGTCAAAGTGTCGGCCCCTCCCCCTACTGCTTCGCTCTGTGTGTCAATCGCTTCAGTGTATCGAAGCGTTTCATTGGCTCAGCGAATGTTCCGCTCTGTGATTGGTTCAGAGTGCTTCAGAGTGTTCAGCGCACTTCTGTGGTTTGACAAGTGCTAAACTGCTACACTATATACCGAGGAGTATTGTGTGACGTTAGTGGTGATTTTCGCGACTTTTGGCATTTGTTTCATTTTCGATGGAATCTACAAGTGGAAAAAAGCGATCCATGGTTTGGGATCACTTTGATCTAATCTAACAAGGTCACCTATTTTCTTATTTACAGCATGTTATTTATGTTTCTCTTTACATATTATTTTAAATCATCATTATTATTGTTGTTGTTAGGTACGGTGTCGCTCTGCACACAAATATTGTCTTACACTAACAATACTTCATCGATGCTGAGACACTTGCGTGCCAATGGTTAAATCTGTTCACTAGAGGTCAGTGTTTCTCAAAGGCCTCAGACACGTCCAACCATTTGAGACAATATTGCGACTGAGGTGTCAATGCTTCACGAGGCTCCATTCGCCCATCACTATTTATTTCCAACCGTTTTGAAACTCTGGATATGGCAACCCAAACTGATGAACACATTCTGCATTCTGAGAAAATCCCTCATTCATCCAAGAGTGGTCCAAGCAAAGATTTGGAGAATGGTCTCACGATCCTAGTAATGAATTAATCGTATAAAACGTATAACACCTTTCAAGACACCCAAAGCGCTTTACAGGATATTCATTCACTCCACACTCTGGAAGGGAGGCTGCCAATCTGCACCATCACCTTTACACCACCTTTAGACCTTTAGACCACCATCACCTTTAGACCTTTAGACCACCACACTTTAGACTTTAGACATCACCTTTAGACCTTTAGACCACCATCACCTTTAGATCACCTTTAGACCCACCATCACCTTTAGACCAACCTTTAGACCTTTAGACCACCATCACCTTAGACCTTTAGACCACCATCACCTTTAGACCTTTAGACCACCATTTAGACCTTTAGACCCACCATCACCTTTAGACCTTTAGACCACCATCACCTTTAGACCTTTAGACCACCATCACCTTTAGACCTTTAGACCACCATCACCTTTAGACCCTTTAGACCTTCAAACCACCATCACCTTTAGACCTTTAGACCACCATCACCTTTAGACCACCATCACCTTTAGACCTTTAGACCACCATTACCTTTAGACCTTCAAACCACCATCACCTTTAGACCATCTTTAGACCTTCAAACCACCATCACCTTTAGACCACCTTTAGACCTTTAGACCACCATCACCTTTAGACCTTTAGACCATCACCTTTAGACCTTTAGACCACCATCACCTTTAGACCTTTAGACCACCATCACCTTTAGACCACCATCACCTTTAACCTTTAGACCACCATCACCTTTAGACCTTTAGACCACCATCACCTTAGACCACCATCACCTTTAGACTTTAGACCACCATCACCTTTAGACCTTTAGACCACCATCACCTTTAAACCACCTTTAGACCTTCAAACCACCATCACCTTTAGACCACCTTTAGACCTTTAGACCACCATCACCTTTAGACCTTTAGACCACCATCACCTTTAGACTTTAGACCTTTAGACCTTAGACCACCACCACCTTTAGACCACCTTTAGACCTTTAGACATCACCTTTAGACCTTTAGACCACCATCACCTTTAGACCTTTAGACCACCATCACCTTTAGACCTTTCCACCATCACCTTTAGACCACCTTTAGACCTTTAGACCACCATCACCTTTAGACCTTTAGACCACCATCACCTTTAGACCTTTAGACCACCATCACCTTTAGACCTTTAGACCACCATCACCTTTAGACCTTTAGACACCATCACCTTTAAGACCACCATCACCTTTAGACCTTTAGACCACCATCACCTTTAGACCACCATCACCTTTAGACCTTTAGACCACCATCACCTTTAGACCACCTTTAGACCTTTAGACCACCATCACCTTTAGACCTTTAGACCACCATCACCTTTAGACCTTTAGACCACCATCACCTTTAGACCTTTAGACCACCATCACCTTTAGACCTTTAGACCACCATCACCTTTAGACCTTTAGACCACCATCACCTTTAGACCTTTAGACCACCATCACCTTTAGACCACCTTTAGACCTTTAGACCACCATCACCTTTAGACCTTTAGACCACCATCACCTTTAGACCACCTTTAGACCTTTAGACCACCATCACCTTTAGACCACCTTTAGACCTTTAGACCACCATCACCTTTAGACTTTTAGACCACCATCACCTTTAGACCTTTAGACCACCATCACCTTTAGACCTTTAGACCACACCTTTAGACCTTTAGACCACCATCACCTTTAGACTTTTAGACCACCATCACCTTTAGACCTTTAGACCACCATCACCTTTAGACCTTTAGACCACCATCACCTTTAGACCTTTAGACCACCATCACCTTTAGACCACCTTTAGACCTTTAGACCACCACCAACACTCACACGCAAACCACATTCATACCAGGCAATGTAGGTGAAGTGTCTTGCCTAATAATAGTTTTTGCCACTGACATTCCTTGTGGTCTCCCATCCAAGTACTAAACAGACCCAGCTCTACTTAAAACAAAGAAAACAAACCTCTGTCCATACTAACCTACAGCCCCTTTGCCTCATCTGTGTTGTGAGTGCAGCCTGGAGCTCGCGATCGTGTCTCATAGTGAGTGTGTGAACATGTGACCACTGGAGCTGAAGAGCTGTGGTCAGGACTGTACACGACTCAAGGTTAAAGAGACTCCGATACACTTTTGGAGGGTGTTACTGAAGATTACATCACACTCTGCAGGTCACACAGAAGGCCTGGATCAAACTCTCTCCCGTGACGCCTCTGACCTTCTCAGAGATGGACGTGCATACACTAATGGCGCTAGTTTTGTTGTGTTCGGTATTTAAATGAGCTGTGGGAATGAGGACAGTATCAAGAACAGGCTTATTTTCTTTTGGAAAACAGGAAATGGTCCACTCAGGAGCACTCACTGAGATGGAGAGTATCACTGTCTCATGTGTGGGTGTTGTCAGGTGCTCAGAGCGTGGACACGACTCGCCATTGCTCTACATTACCCCACACGCTCTGAGGCCACCCAAAATGTGACTCGAATAATTGAGTAATACCCGAGCCCACTGTTGGGCAAGTAATGCATTATTTATGACTTGTTACTGTCATTTTAAAGTCATTCATTACATTACAATATTACTGCATTTAAAATGTAAGGCATTACATTACTATTGTATTACTTTTAAGTTTCTCTCACCAAATTAACTGCTATATGGACTGAACCAGGACTAAACCAAAACTGAACCAGAGCTGAACCTGGACTGAACCAGGACTAAACCAGGTCTAAACCAGGTCTAAACCAGGACTAAACCAGGAGGACTGAAGCAGGACTAAACCAGGTCTAATCCAGGACTAAACCAAAACTGAACCAGAGCTAAACCTGGACTTAACCAGAACTAAACCAGGACTAAACCAAAGCTGAACCAGGACTGAACCAGGACTAAACCAGTTCTAAACCAGGATTAAACCAGGTCTAAACCAGAACTAAACCAGTTCTAAACCAGGACTAAACTAGGTCTAAACTAGGACTAAACCAGAACTGAACCAGAACTGAACCAGCCTGTGGAACAGGGTGTCTGCAAATCGCGACTGCGTCAGCTGTGCGGAGTTCTGCGCCGGTCCTTTCGCCCGTGGTTACCTGACGGTCTATGCGGCTGTGTCTCCGGCGTTTCACCGCTGCTGATATCGCACCGAAATTTATATGAAGAAAAAAAAAAAAAAAAAAAACACCACTTCAATCCAGGTTAAAAATGCATTGTAATGTGCGTTACTGACATTTGTACCAAGTAAAATATTACGATTTTTTCCCCTCTAATGCCTTACATTACTGCGTTACTGCAGAAAGCAATACATTACAGTAATTTGTTACTTTTATAACACGTTACTCCCAACACTGGGTGAATGACATCTGCACAACAGAAGTGCACCAGTGAAACTTTGATAACTCTTGCTTCTCAAATGATTAGTCTGGAGTCCTCCCCTCTGCTCTTCCTCTATCCTTCTCTCTCCTCCCACTTAGTCTTGTCCTTGTTTTTCTCTACCCTCTTACCTCCTCCCCTCTCTATCTCGCTTTCTTCCCCTCCTTCTGGCTCTCTCTTCCCTCCGTCTGTGATTGCGACAGTAATGGCCGCCTCCAGGACGTCTGAGTGCACGTCCACTCTGGAGCACAAACACAATGAGGCCGGGTCACCTCAGCCCTCTCATTATGAAACGCAACAATCCTCTGCATTTCTTTCCTTCTGCACCTGTTTGTCTCCGGGCTCTAATTTTAGCTTCTCGTTATCTCCCGCCACCGCCAACAGCACCGCGGGAGCTCCGTTATGAAGATTTGTTTACATATTACACAAGAAATTTCAGAGCGTTTGGATTTAAACCGAGTGATATGTAAACAGACAGATGAATGAGGAGTGATTTTCTTATTGAAAAGAAAATAGGGTTGTGAGGGCTGTCGCAATCAAGTTGAATTTGAACGTTGACAATTAGCAAATCACAAAGACTGTAATTATTTAAAGGGCCCGTATTACGCTATTTTCTGATCTTTTATGATATTGTTTCCTCGTCACAAACATACCTGGAGTCATGTCATTCACATATTCACAAAGCCTGTATATTTAGGCTGAGTTCTTCTCTCAAAATCTCTCTCACTGTTCCACCTTGTGATGTCATATGGTAATACAGGAAGTGCTCCACTGTGTTTTTTTAAACTCCATACACCTTCACTAGAATCATTTGGACGATTTCAGACATGAAGATTTGGAGATGTAGACCAGTGTTTCTCAATTTTTTTTTTTTTTTTTCTGGGGATCCATATTTTAAAAGCCACAAACCTTTACAATTCAATAGACATTACTCGTAAATCACAAAATAAAGGTTGATTTGACCATTACTGAACATTAATGAGGATATTTTATTGTTGTCTGAGTGATTGTGTCTCTCAAACAATTCGTATTAGTTAAGTTTTAAACAATGGAAAAAAGTCATTGAACCAGCAATAAAAGGATCCATTTTTATCCTGAAGTGCACTGACCTTTGCTGATTTATCACCCTTTTGTTGGACATCCAGGCTGCAGGAACACTGGTTCAGGGCAGACAGGTAGATTTCGCTGACTCACTCGCTCTCTCACGTGTCAGAACCAGAGGTGGGACCAAGTCGTTGTTTTGCAAGTCTCAAGTAAGTCTCAAGTCTTTGACCTCAAGTCCGAGTCAAGTCCCAAGTCAAATACAGACAAGTCTAAGTCCAGTCTCGAGTCTTCTGGGGCATAAGTCCAAGTCAAGTCCAAGTCGTCTGCTTTGAGCTTCAAGTCATTTCAAGTTTTTAAACCGAAGAACCAAATACAGCTTAGATTTTTGTAATTTATATGAATTTTAAACTAAATTGTACTTAAAAAAAATCATAGTATATTTATACATGAGTATTTATACAGTATATAAGAGTTGTAGAAATGCTTTTTTTTTTCCTTTTTAAATGTCTTAACCAAATCTCAGTGTGAATCATTATGGTCAGAATAGACAGAATTCAAATTCAAGTCTTCTCAAGTCACAGGCCTCAAGTCCGAGTCGAGTCCCAAGTCTTAGTCCATTTTATCAAGTCAAGTCTCAAGTCCTAAAAATAGTGACTCAAGTCTGACTCGAGTCCAAGTCACGACTCACAAGTCCCACCTCTGATCTGAACTGCATATTGCAGGCCTAAATACAGATCGTGACAAGACGGCCCCCCCCAAAAAAAAATCTTTTGCAACTCACCTGAGTGTCGTGACCCAGTCTTTGGGAAACAATGATGTAGACAGACTAATAATAAAGGATTACGCAAACATGTGTGAATGAGGAGGTAACAGTGTTATAACATGACTTAAAGCTCACAAGAGTCAATTTTGTGTAATTTAGGACCTTTTACATGATCCAGTGTAGTGTAGTCACCGTGCTAAAATGTCAAATGCAATTTCGATACTACTGTAAGGAATAGGCTCGATACTCAATAATGATTCCGATACCATGATGATAACAAAATGAACTTTCTTTAGACAACAGAATGCGATCTTCAATAGTAAATCGTAGTACTTTTTTGGGTGTATACTATTCTTTGTGCTCTTATACTTGTTCTGATACAGCTCAAGATCATTCTAAAGCTACTCAGGAAAGGTTCTGTTCTGTCAATGCGTCTTTTTTAGTATCGATACCTGCTCAAATTAGAATCTAGTTTCAATTAGGAATGCAAATCCACATTTTTACTACTATACATCAACTATCTGCGGTCGACATCTAATATGAACCGATACCGGAAAGTGGCACTTATTTCTTTAATTCCCAGTTGACATATTACATAGAGATTCAGTTGCATAGTGTAACTGTAACTGTTGTTTATCCTTCAAAAAACAACAAAACAGCAACATTAGACCTTTTTGTTGCTAAAATCAGCCTGTAAATAGTCATTACATCCAGTTAAAGCCCCAACCACGACACTGGCTTAATCGATATCATACCCGATCCAGCTCATTTTTCAGTATCGCTGCTGTGATTCTATATATTCCATATATGCATCGCTAATTTCAATAATAGTTTTAGTATTGATTAGTATCTGATAAGGATGGGATGAGATAAAAATGTCCAAAAGATGAGACAAAATGCGATATTGGGTCCACAAGAATGAAAGAAGGTGAGATCTGCACCTAAACACAATTCCCAATATATAAACTTCGCGGTTGAGTTTAGAATTTTGGCTTCACAATTTGTTTTACTTATTTTGTTTCATAGTTTTGTTTCCATACTAGTACTGCTTTTTGGAACTGTAAGAGATGTAATTCTTTTTTGTCCAATCTAAATGTAAACACTAAAATCTAATGAGGTCGTTTGTCTCTTGTGCGCATGATCTTGTGGTAATTTTGTCTCACGAGATCTTGTAAAATCCATAGTATCTGATTTTTTAAACTTTTAACAGCCCTAGTACTGTATGCAACTTTTCAAAAAATAAAAAAAAAAAGAAAGAAAGAAAGAAATAAGAAACAAAAATGTTACTGTAAAAACATGTTTTTTTCCCATCCGGTTGTTTATCACACTGAAAAACATGCGTCCTTACTCTCAGAGGACTTGCAACTCCACAAACCAGGCCTCCTCCTGTTTGTTTCCATGGAAATCTTCTTCCTTCGGTTTTAATCTTCCACAGTATGGCATAAAATGTCTTTGTCTCCATGCAGAATGTTCCAAAGTAAGGTTTTAACTTTCTATTTCCATGGAATCACAAAGGTGACGTTCGAGCTCCAGAAAGTTTTCATTTGCAAATAAAGATACGCCGTGTATAATCTAAATGTATTATGTATAGAATGTGCTGACCCTGTACTTAGACCTCAGACATATTTTGAAATGCATGGAATTCTTGTATAAGTGTGGCTGTTCTTATTTGTCATAGTCATCTCTCAGCGTTTATGCTTGTTTCTGAATGAGATATTTCTGCATACTAAGCCTCCATCTGAAACTGTGGCGTCTCCTGATATTGACAGTTTGTGCAAATGTGCAGGGCACCACCAGCCACAAGGGGCTTCTAAAAGTTCCATTTCCCCCGTGCAAACTTACTTCTGTTGCCAGGCAAATCCAGAATGATATGTGTGTGTGTTTTATACCAAGTGATCGTCCAGTCAGATTTGTTTATTCCAGTGATGCAGGTGAAACGAAGGAGCTAATTGGTCACAAATCATTTACAAACAAATCAGATTTCCCTCACCTCATATTAAGAGTTTAGTAGTGATGGGCAAATGGAGTCTCGTGAAGCATTGACACCTCAGTTGCAATATTGTCTCAAATGGTTCGATGTGTCTGAGGCCTTGGAGAAACACTGACCTCTAGTGGACAAATTTAACCATTGGCCGCAAGTATTGTTAGTGTAAGACAATACTTGTGTGCAGAGCAAACACCGTACCTAACAACAACAACAATAATAATGATTTAAAAGAATGTGTAAAGAGCAACATAAATAGCAGCTGTAAATAAGAAAACAGGTGACCTTGTTAGGTGGAATTAGATCAAAGTGATCCCAAACCATGGATCACTTTTTTCCCAGTTGTAGATGCCATCGAAAATGAAACAAATGCCAAAAGTTGCCAAAAGTCAACAAAATCACCACTAATGTCAAACAATACTCCTCACTACCCAACATTTTTAAGAAATATTGGTGCATCTTTTATACTGTAGCAGTTTAACGCTCGTCAAACCACGGAAGTGCACTGAACACTCTGAAGCACTCTGAACCAATCACAGAGCGGAACATTCGCTGAGCCAATGAAACGCTTCAATACACTGAAGCGATTGACACGCAGAGTGAAGCAGTAGGGGGAGGGACCGACACTTTGGTCACGTGAGTGGCTGCTGTGAGACGAGCTCCGAGGCAGTGCTTCGGAGCAATTAGTTTTAGAAAGAACGAGACGTGCTCCAGAGCTCCGTCTCATTTGAGTTTAGTGCTTTGCTTAAGAAATCTGTGATGTTTTCTGTCCCCTGGGTGGTTGGCCTGTCACAGTATTACATTTCTTGCTTGCTTAAGTAAATATAGATGATAAATGATAACACTGAAACTCATTTATGCCACTGATACAATAAACCAAAAACAGATTTAAACCACAAAAAAAAAAAAAAACATTTAGTACATAGTTGGCACAATCATAATTAATAATTCAACCTTGTATGGCTCAAATCTTATCTAACCAAACCATATAGTCAAAAAATAACACAAAATGTCCCATTAGTGCAAAAAAAATGTACACACAATAAATACTGAGCAAAAAAACAAAACAACAAAAAAACAAAACAAAAAAAAAGTTCCAGCTTTCATATATTGAACGATAAGCCAATATAGTGTTTACTATGACAGGCTTACCCCTGGGATATTATTTTCACCTTTTCCTTCCTTGTTTTATTTTGATATGGACAGATGTGTGTCCCTCATTGGCTAATCCACCTGTCAATCACTCCCATCTGAACTCACAGACATTCACCGGTGACCAGACTCACATCTTCATAAAATGTTGAGTGGAAAATCCTGGAAAATTACGCCTGAATTACAGCAGTGTCAGGGGATCATGAGTGTGCTAATGGTTTGTTTTGTTTGGAAATAATAGTTTTGTAGTTTGTCAAATTATAAAAAAAGATGTGACAATGTGAAATCATCCGAAGGAAAATATGACCATGTTTCATAAAAACTGACTCTTATGAGATTTTATCCATGTTAGAAAGTTGTTACCTCCTCAAAAACAGTTCTGTTTTGTTTTATTCACATGTTTGTGTAATCCTTTATTATTAGTCTGTCTATATCTCCATGCTGTGTTCCACCTTG